CACCATCGCACGTAATCCATGTAATTGAGAGAACAAGGGGCTTACAGATAGTAACACGTATGCGGGTTTATGTGGTTTGGACTTTTGTTTTATCTTTACACAACATTGCTACTTTCAAACCATTAAATGCTCATCAATAAATACGTGTTCTGTCATTGCTCTATTAAACACAACACGAAAGATTACGTGTAATCGAGATTACGCTTTTATGCCAATTAAGTACAACAAAGAAAAACCATTTCCGTTTTGGTCTCTCACCTGCTACATTTGAAAAGTGAGTCTCACCAAACAGGGGTTACAAACAAGATTCGCTTGTTGAAAGTCTAATCGTAGCGTGTAAGTGGTGAATTGTTCAAAAAAGTCATATAAATATATATATATAAAACCCCTAAAATCAGTAAAAATATAAGTAAAAGAAGCCATTACAGTACCTCATGTTTTGACTTTGTTTTGGTGTTTTCGAGCTTGTATAAAAAAACCGTTTTAATATAAATTATAAATCGTACAAATGAGTGTTTTTATCGATGATTCATGAGCTTAATGATACATGAAGGTCACTTTAAAGTATTTATTTTCATATTTCGTTTTTTGATTATTAAAAGTGTGAAAACAAAATCATCATGTCTTACAAATGAGTTGAAAATGATATCAAAATTGTTGTATCTTAAAATCAATAAATCCATACAAACATGTGAATAAACATTTTCACTGGGGCTATTCAACAATTTGAAAATCTCCCACACTAAAATGTAATGTAGAAGACACAGGACTATCACAACTCATCCGTAATATCATAATGAAATATGTACCAATGCACTGCATTTCAACTATATACCTTACCACATTCAGATAAGATGGCATTCATTTAGGCTATGAATGATATACATTATTGAAACTATTTTTTTAATAATAGTACGTGTAATTGAATTTTTATGAAATAATCAGACTTAAAACATGGTAAATTCAAGTATTGAACTGCTTTCTTTTGAGATTCATGAGCAATATGAATGCCAAAAAGCAGTTCAGTGCTTAAAATCAGCTTAGCGGACCTCACGATATCCCCGATTCATCTTTACACACTTTACTGTGAACATTGTTCTATTCCTCGTGAACCAGCAGTGGTATGCGAATCTAGATCAAAAATGGTCGTTCTATCCACTTACCTGAAGCCCTGGAGTTACTACATACGCTGCCGTAGTGACGTTCTATTTTGGTGATTTTGTAGGAGCTGTTGAGGATATCCCTATTGACCCTTTCAATGGCAATATCTATAGCTGGTCCTACTCTCTCCACGTCGTAAGGTGTGTTTGCGTCGTAGATCATGGCTACGCCGACGTTAAATTCCCTCACAGAACCAATTGTCGGGCGTGTGTAAAACAAATTAAATAACACGATGTAAGCTTCCCACATCTTCAAAACCATCCTCCTACACGTTACAGATATTCGCAACTCTTTTTACGTAAACGTTATGTTTGAAATGCTACTACAGAAGTTGCCATAACCGTCCATCTATTCGCAAGTAAACTCATGATCATAGCATAAAAACTGTAACATAATGTTAGCACACGTCTGATGTATCTTACTAAGTATGATATGACCAGTATGGCCTCATCCCGGTCCTTTCACCACCCTTATGAAACCATTTATCTATTATGTGTTTCATTTAGCTCTGGTGACGAACATCGTTGTCAGTATACTAATTAGACGCTTTGTGCGGGCTAGTCAGCAGCTCCCGGTATTGAGCGCCTTCACATCAACGCGATCTGGATTGGTTTGTGTCGTCGTCACCAATGTGTCATTATTACAGGCTGTTCAGATGCTGTGGACGTTAGTACAGGTAATCGATGATGTAAGTGTCTGTAAAACAGGTACATTTTCTTAGATAGGTAAAGGTACTCGAAAACAACCTGATTTATATCAACAATAGCAGTAATGGATGCATCCATCAAATCTTAAACTCCTATTACAGACCAGTTTGTTATGACGTCATAGTGTGTGACATTTCTACCTCCTAATATGTTCATATTTATGATATGAAATGCAACTCTTATAAAGCGCTCTATATGGTTCCTGATATTACTCACACATGTCTACAGAATATTTAATATACATGACATTATGACGTAATTGTCAGAAATATGAAACAGACAAGTTCAATGACGTCACAAGTGATATGATCTATAAAATATATAACTATTTTATAATAAAGCCCTATACAATGACGGATGATAAATGTTTATATTAGACAGATATCTAGAAAGCGGAAGAAGGAATGTGAAATCTCAACCCCAATATCCTTTGTGTGATGAGCCTGTGATGCACGTGCTTTCACCTAGTGACGATTTTACTATGTTATCTTTCACCGTTAATGGATAATATGGATATTGTACCGGCAAAAGGTAGAGACATCCTAACTGGGGTAAGCTGGTACGATAGGCAGAATGACTTCGACTTCCCGGTCATGAACTTTACATTTCTTGATAGTAACATCCCTGTTTCAATACCTATGTTGTTTACATGTCACATTTGGTTGATGACTTCTGTGATAAATGTCGACTACTAACGGACACACTTACAACACAGTGTGTTAATGATGCAGGTTGGGGAAGATTATGGGCAGGTTTTATGGTCGCAATCATGATTTCATTAGGAACTCTATTTTTTGTGTGATTTATAGGTCATTATTGTAATTATGCTCGTAACTGTAACCTATGGATTAACTGTCACTACCTGAGTTCTCGTTGGAAAGAAGCGACGTTACTTGACATTTGACCAAGATTTACAAGGCAGTTGTCGTCGATAAAGCCGACGACGCCTACCTTTCCAGAACAACTGGTCCTATTGTCTTCTCCTATGACTATTATGTGATTAGTCTTTCATTTGTTCATATTTTCCCCTTGTTGAGTTGAAATTATGATTATGTTGACATGTATTCGCTCGATGCATTCCAAATCCGACTTGGTTGTGCGCCGAGCTGTTTGTTGTAAAATCGACTGCCAAATTCAGAACATTAAACTCCTTTTCTTAAAATGCAATTAATTCATTACTTATGAAGTTGTTATCTCATTTTATACGATTTGTTTATTTCTTTCCTGCATGATTATATGCGTTAACTACTGTTTTGGTACAAGTCAAAAGAAAACCATCAATGGAATAAGTACTGGGGGTATACTGACTGGAGCAAAACATAGCGATACAACTTAACGTTTCAAATGATAATACCAATTAAATGCATCAAGATTTTACTGATCTTAAAACTGTACTTATAAAGTAAAATATAGAGTTTTCCTTTAAAGTAGGGCCTTACGGTTTTAATTAGTTCTGTATTTGTTCGCCCTTAGATAGGATTATAATGTCACATGACCTGTACGCATCATTCACACATACAAGATGTTGAGAGAAGCAGACAAGTGCTTTCATTGGAATGGTTATCAGAGTCAAAACACTATTTCTTTTTAACGTTCATAATAAGTGCCCGTGGTTTCTAGGGAGCTGGGGACTACATATGCTATATTACCTTAAATACATTTGGTGTGCAAATACTCCTTGGAATGGTGGAGTGTCAATTACAAAACGTAGGTACCTGTGACTTGTGGTGTGACCTTTGACCTAAACTTTAAAAGAAATGTTTTCCATGGCATATCTACTACAGCATTTCACCTTGAGCAAACGTATTTGGTATTTAAATTCATCTTCGAATAACAAATTGTGGAGTACAAAAATAAGGTCGCTTTGACCTTCATTTAAAAAACAATTCTGTGGCATATCACCAGACTCGGTATGCAAGTACCGAGTCATTGCATAGCGGAATGCAGTTTACAAGAAGTAAGTCAGTGTTACCTACGCGTTGACCTATTACCTCAAATATGGAACATTTTTTTCCGGGGCATACATTCGGTTTCACCAAAGTAACCAGATTAGGTATGCAAGTACATTATGGGATTGCAGAGTGCAGAATACAAGACGTATATTTCTGTAACCTTTATGCTTTGGCCTTTCACCTCAACCTTTGAAAAGGTTTGTCCAGTGCATACATGTATCGTCTAAACTATTTCATTGCACTTTCCAGATTTGGTATGAAAGTTATCTTGGGATGGCAGAGTGTCAAGTACAAAAAGTAGGTCACTGTGACCTATGCTTTAAACTTTGACCTTATCGTTTGAAAGGAAACCAGAGTTGGTATGGAAGCATGTCCTGGCTGACAGAATGAGGAGTACAAGAACTCTGTCTCTGTGACCTATATGATGAGATATTTGTAACGCTAGGTAAATAAAGAAAAAAAATACTGGTGGGGGACTTTGGATTGCCATTCAATACTCTGCCTTGTTGTGAATAATATGATTGAGTGAGGCACAATCCTGCATACGGAACTGCCATATTTGCCAAAAAGATAACAAAAGATTAAAAGATAAAAGTACGTTTTAGCAAGTGCAAGTAGGTTAAAATAGTAGGTATTCCCACGAAGGTGAAGTAAGTCATTGCCGCTGTAACTTGTTACTGATCTTTTTAATAGACGCTAAAATGTTATACACTTACAACATTACATACTTAGTCAAAAATCTACAATGTTAATAAAATATATGAAAACAAACCTTTTCTCGGCTATTTACAGTAATTTAAAGCTTTCCTGGGTAGAATATTATACTCTAGACAGACTTTAGTTGCATTCCTAGTGGTCGTGGTTGTTGACGCGACATTGATTTAAGTGGATACTCTGAGCGTTATATCACCAGGTATTACATGAAAGCTATATGTAGGCTACATTCACACTATGACATAATGTGGGATCAGCAATGATATACTTCTTTAAGTTTCCTACAAGTTACAACTATGATAAATGTGTATGTTATCCTCAACCTGTCATGCGGTGTTGTAGTTGTATTTGGTCTAGCATGATGACACTGGGAATCTGTAAATCTGGAGAATGTCTAAACAAAATTGATGTTTTTCGCTTGTTTGGTATCTTTTTAACAGTCTGAAGATATAAACGAACAATTGTCTTAATGTCCTTCTACAAAACGCATGATGGCTTCTGTTGTATTGACACTGAACCCCACCACCTCGAGCATAAATGGATTTTTTGGATCCTCTACTGTTACGTCACTGCTGGCAAAGTTGACAATAACAAGTCGAGTTGTGCCGACGCCGAAGTGAAACCTTGAAAATGTCTGTTTGAATTTCTCAGCTGGGGAGGATAAAAGCACTATAATGGCGTCGAATGAATCCAGTGCCTCTTCCACATGTTGTACAAGAACCGATAGTGACCCATTTACTGCAATTAAATTGTTCGTGCAAGCCAAAGCGTCTGTACTAGGGAATTCCAGCTTAATCTTTTCCCCGGAAGTGTACGTGACAATTTCCGAGTCTCTGTGTGTTGCTCTTGCAATTATAGTCGCCATTGTAGCTATGGCGTCTCCAATAGTAACTGGGTTTTTTTCCTGAAGTTTAGAGTCTAGTTCCTTGCCTACCCAATGCACCAAAGAATATTTTTTGTCTGTTGGTTTTACATTACGGACACAAAGTTCAAAAGATTGTGCCAGTGTCTTCTTGACGTTTTCGTCATTTGTTTCCTTCATTGCAAGTACAACTGCGAATGGGTTCACGTTTGCATTTTGTAGCTGTTCCACATCTCCCAGTCTCTCAAGAATTGTCTTCTGGTCATCTAATTGGTCTATCTTCGAAATGTTCTGAATGACCAGATCAAGAGGAATTTGGTTCAGCAAAACTTCCCAAACAAGTGTGGACCTCATGAGTGCCGCAGACATTTGCGAGGTTTCCAGCCTATATTTCCTTATGATATCGATTTTCCCCTGAACTTCCATGCTTCCAGTACACTGACGTGTGTTGTTAACCGCCTCGAGGTATTGGAGGATGTCCTGCCATTGTTTGGCTTGGTCGCGGTCAATTGGCGATGGTAATTTCTTTGATTCGTTTAGACCTTTAGTGACATATCTCAGGATCAACATGATGAATGGGGAGTCTGGTTTCACATGCGACAACCTGGCAACATCTTTATGGGTCCACTGACCATTTTTTTGTACTTTCGTAACGCCTTCTGCTAGTTCCATGGGCCTGTCGCTGAAGCTGTTGTACCAGTCAGAAACGGCTCGGCGTTGTGCCCTACCCCACCCTGTTCCCCCGCTCACCATTTCACAAAACATGACGAAAGTAAGTAAATCCGAGGGTTCGGGACATACTGCTTGAAGAGCGGAATAAGCGGCTTTCTTCGTGCTGGATTCCGTTGATCGGGCACACATTGCTAGTGCGTATATCGCGGTTTGTCGCTGACATCCTCTTCCCGTTAATTTAGCCCTCTTTATGATCTCAACAACTTCAGGACCGTGATCATTGGAAATCAAACTGAAATCAGTATAATAAACCATATTAATTAAATCATACAAGTAGGTTTCTTTCCTAACGTCAATGTATCAGACCATCGCATTTTTTTGTACTTATCGGCGATGGTCTAAGGGAGACAACCTTTACATGCGTGATCACATGGTTGTGATAAGACACATGAAAAGGG